GGGCCTTGCACCCCGAGAATCTCACAAACTCCCTAATTCCTTTCTCAACATGTCATGTTATCTTGTCTTCCTTATCTCCTCATCTGCAACATATTGCGGGACCATCAAAGCCATCTCCATGAATTTGGTGGTGATCTATGTTATAGTCTCTGTAGTCTGGCGAAGGTCCTGGAACTCTCTCGCTAGCTTATGCACCTCAATCGATGATGCAAACTCCCTCTAGAAACTATGAATAAAATCCTCCTAGGTCATGACTACCACTACTGCTGATCCTACTGCCTGACTAAACTCCTCCCATGAATCCCGTGCTCGGTCCCTCAGCAGGCAGGATGCAAATCCCACCTTTTCCCCCTCAGGGCAAAAACTCATCCGCTGAGCATTCTCCATGTTAACGATCCAGGGTCGGATAACAATAGGGTCCTTAGCCCCAAAGAGCTCAAGAGCTCTACATGCCTTGAAATCCTGGAATAAGGGAACTCGAGCTCCTATCTCACCTACAACAATCTCAACTTGAAAGGTCCTGAGCCTCTCATCCATCAGCTCTAAAATCCCCTCCTTGATAGTATCGAACATCACAGGAGTAGCATCCAAGATACCACGAGTAACCTCAGCTGAAATGAACTCATGCAGATGCTTATCAATCGGTTCTATGCCGGAGCTAGAGCCAGAACCTCCTCGAGTAATCATCACCATCCTCCACACTGAAATACAACATATATTCAATCAACATAGGACTCGAGGGGATCCCTCTACATAGGCCTCTTTAGAGTTTCCAAGTATGCTTTTGTCTCAGGTACATATCATGTGCTTCTAGTAGTAGTACATACCAAATACTACCTATACCTTCCTCAAGGCCAGTCCTGATTTCTCTAAGTCGTCGCACTAAAACCATGTACTAATTATATGTTATACAACATACATGTCTTACGATCTCCTAAGAAGTCCCAACTCCCACCAGTCTTGATACTGAGAACCTCAATCAACATCGTTGGTTTCCTTATTCATGCAAGTGATAGACAAAATAGGACCAAATAGAGTGTCAAGTGATGATTCAACCATAAGTCCACAACCAAACAAGGAATAGGAAATGACCATTCTAGGGCTATACAATCCTCATCGTATACAACTTTGAAAGCATACACTTAGCAATTAACTGAGTCGATATCAATTCCGAGTAATACATAGCATCAAGTTCCACTAGGCTATAAGGCATCATTCAAATCAGGTAATTCTATCATAAGATTCCTTAAGGTATCCCTATCCCTAATCTAGCATGCAGTTCTCATATCAAGCATATTACTCATAATATATAGGTATGGGTAATTTGGGAACCACTTACTTGAGCTCAGCTGATTGCACGTATCACGCCCCTTCTTCTTAATAAAAATCATTTTAGAAGTTTACTTCATTTTTCTTGAGAAAATTGTCATTTACTCAGTTTGAGTTCTGACACACCCAAAAGTGTGCCTGAATCCCTCCAACCAAGGCTTTGATACCAACTTGATGGTAATAAAAAATTTTCATTTAAAAGTCTACCAAATCATTTATTAATTGCTAAAATCAACATCAAATCATAATATTCAGAACATCATAGTAAAATTATTTCAAATGCGGAAATCATGAGGGGAGGATGTTGTGCCATCATGTCGGGCCCTTCCCTTTTGAACCAGAAGTACCTGAAACCGTAAACATAAACTATAAGCACAAAGTTTAGTGATTTTACCCAAAGTACCACATACCAATCATATAACCAGGTTAACCTTGGGATATAATGCAACCCAATATACACATATGGGCCCCGCCTCGGTCCTCGCCCTGGGGTGTATTTCAACCCGAATATACTGTAGTGGGCCCTGCCCTGGAGTATATTTCAACCCAGACATACTATAGTGGGCCCCACCCTGGGTGTATTTCGGCCCATCATACAATCACATATACATCACATAATGGCTTTCATTCTAAGTAATATAATAATAGGTCTACATTGGTGCCTTTGACCCATGGATATAGTGAGAAAACTCACCTCCAAAGAAGATGACCGTGCCATAAACTCGAGATGTTATTAATATGGCTGCTCACACTAAAGATATCCCAAAGAAAATAGACCTAATTAATAATCGAGCTTTTATTCCATATTAGATAGTCCAACCAATCCCATATCCTAAATAGGGAAAAAAGGTCATTTGCCCTTCCCATTCGGCCTAAATTTTGAAATGCTGAACACTAATGATTCAAGGCCCAAAAGGATGGCCTAATTGTTGGAACTGGGTCGTACACCCCACGTACCAGATTGTACGCCCCGCGTACGCGATCGATGCGAAGGGAATCAGGGTCAGGGTGCACTACGCGCAACGTACTGGGATTTACGCCCGACGTACGCCCGCTAAAGCCAAACTCCCATTAAAGTCTCAATGCTTTAAGACCTTACATCCAAACTTCATATCTGAGCTTATTAAGACCTCTAAGGCTATAAAGTTGCAAACATTATGCCTTTGAATGGCTACAAGGAGCCCAACACTAAGAACCTAACTTGCTCCATCCTTTTCTACATCATAACTTGCTCCATCCTCTAAACATTTGGTTTATATCTTGGCTACATATGTTTTGAGGTTATGTTATTAGGAAAATAGTTTTTTTTTTTTCTTTTTGACAAAATATGTTTATATTATTTTTTTTCCTTATACTGCAGCGACACGATGAGAGTCTAATCATCATAAGCTCGAAGGACAATGAAGACGTTCTTATTGATGCAAAAAATGCTCCTCACAAAATTAGCAATTTAGTTCTCATGGTAATGAGATATTTAATGTTGAGTTTTTAAAGCTTTATTTTACTTTTATTTTGGAAAAACTATAAGTTCACTTAAAATGCATAGTATTAAATCTGTTTGCTAGTACCCAAAACCTAACATTTGTCATCTACTAAACAATTAGTTAATTTCTGGTGAGACTTTAATGCTTTTATCATTTTAATTTTAAGCTCCATTTATGTGCCAATATTTGTGGATCAATATGTTATTAGTAAAGGGAAATGCATATATATATATATATATATATATATATATATATATATATATATATATATATATATATATATATATATATATATATATTACCATCCAATAAATACTTTTTAAATATTGGCACTTTTTGATAGAACAACCGTAGAAAACAATGTTTTCTCATTTGGGAAGCGGTGTTTTTAAGCAATTACATTCGATGAGATTTTTTTAGGGTCAACCCAGGCGGCTATTGGTGGTGGAGGGAAGCATGTTTTTGATTATATAGATGTCAAAAATGATACATGAATCATTGATGGAGCTGAATTAGTTAATGACAGATAATTAAAATGTTCATGGACAATTTCACTTGCATAATGTGTCACATCTTCAACCACTCTATAATATAAACCAAAGATTCAGTAACAATATTAGAACTTTACCAAAAACCAGAATTGGTGTTTGAGTTGCTAAATAGTTGAAATGTAATGTTTTCTTACACCATAAGTGTTTAACGAAATAGCTACTTAAAAAAGTATAAATACAAAAAAAAACTATTGTACTTTAATTTCTATAGTTTGTACATGAGATTATAGAATGGAGCCCTTGGTTTGTTTTACATTTTTGGAGCCGTTTTTCAAAGTCACGCCATTAAATTTTCATAAAGACACCTTCCACCCCATGCAAATCCTTCTAGTTATCAATAAAAGTATATTTGTTTGTTTGTTTTTTTTTTTTTCCTAAAATATATATGTAAAGCATTTTCTCTAAGGTATTAAAATCAAATTTCTTTTAGTCACTAATCTAAGTGATTACGATTGGGTGGGAAGTAGTTAAGCATTTGGTGAACCCCATCATCAACTATGATAAGGACTCAAGTGTAATCCCATGTGGTCCATCGTATCGTACACCTAATCCTAGGACTGTCTGGAAATTGGTGGGCGGTTTATTGTTCATTGTAAACGATATCTAAAATTAAATATATATGACAGTTCATTTTATATATTTTTTAAAGCCTTAAAACTATTTGATTCGTTGATTTGTAAATAAAAAACGACATTTCAGAAATTTATTTGTTAAATTAATATATCAAATTTACTTGCTTTAGATAGATATTATATGTTCTTAGTTAGAAGCAAAAGTTAATACTATTTTAGTTTTAAAACGGAGATCGCGTGTCTCATTTTACTGTTAACAACTCCCTGCAAAAAGGCGCCACCCCACAACAGAGACTGTGTGATTACAGAGGAAGGAGAGAATACAGATTAGAGAAAAGAGATCAAAAGTGTTTTAGTGAGAGAAAGCTTCATTCTCTCTCTCTTTATATATACATATACATACACCATATGTTTGTATATATGTAGTTAGATTCGTAGATAGATAGAAAGCCAGGTTGACGAATTCATCATCACGGCGGCCGGAAAAGAAGCGATCATTCGATCAATGTAGGTAACATAATCGCCATGATAGAATAATTTTGTTTGCTAGTACTGCGATCGGTAAATTGTCTTAATTTTGCACAGGGATCGAATGATTAACTGATTATGTGAATTGTGATCTAAGTTTTTGATCGGAAATGAAATAAAATTAAAGTAAAAAGGAAAGCGTTGATTAGTTCTACGTTTCTGTTTCTGATTGTGTCAAGCAATTGAATTTCGTGGAGTTTCTGCAACAAACAATTTTGGAAAGAAGTAGCGGAAATTAGGAATTAGTTATTGCGTTTGGTTTTATTCATATGTTATTTATGTTATTACAATAGCGAATTAGAGGAGCTTTTTTGTATATTTGTGCTTGATGATGTTGATTAAATCAGAGTATTGATGACTTGAACAGATTAAAGTAGCTTGATTTAATTCAGGTATAATGTTTCTTTTGTAGGATTTGCATTTACTCCTGTTGATCTGCTAGTATACTGTATACCCATCGAAGAATGCTTGAAAAATCGATGTCAATTTGTTTAAGAAACACTCTTGTTAAATAAAGGGGAATTCATCATTCATGAATGAACTGTCATCTACAAACTGAATTCAACATCCTCCATAGTTTGAGTGGAAGCTTAATGGATTTCTTTGAAGGACTTACATATGAGCATGTCAATTTCATTTTTTCTGATGTTACATATCCTCAGGTAATCATCTAGACATAACCTTTACCTTCTTTATTATGTGTATTATGGTTCCTGTGAAAATTTGAGGAATCATATAACTTACAGGATAGCACAAACTACACAATGAATACCAGTTCATACAAGTTTGCATATTCAGAACCTGAGAATTTCTCATACTATGATTATTTTAATGCTTATGCAATCAATGATCCACTATATGGGAACAATGGATTCACTAGACAACTAGAAAATACCTCCACCATGAATAATGAAAGAAGTACACCTGTACATATGCAACAAAATGGACATTCAATTTCAACCTCCAATCCTTCAGATAGTAAGCATTGAATTCTTTTTGCTATTTTCAAAATGTTTTCACACTCAACCCCAAAACTAACTTTTTCATATTCAAATTTTCAGATCCACAGAGTAATCATAATCATAATCATAATCCTAATCACAATCATGGTGATCAACATCAGGTCTAATTTCTGAAGCTTTCTCACTATAAAGTCTTTTCTTTTTAAGATTATGTGTTATAAGTTATAACAATGTTACATTTATAAAATCTTATAGGTTGTGTGGGAAGATAATGTTGATCTTGACAATATGACTTATGAGGAATTGCTAGAGTTAGGTGAGGTTGTTGGAAGTCAAAGTCGTGGTCTATCTCAAGAAGCTATTTCTCTTCTCCATGTTTCAAAGTTCAAGTGTGGCTTCTTCTGGAGAAAAAAATCAAAAAGCGAAAGGTAACAAATACTTCACTTTATAGACTATATATATATATATATATATATATATATATATATATATATATATATATATATATATATATATATATATATATATATATATATATATCCATGGAAATATAACAAGGAATAAGGGTTAAAGTAAAAAAAAGGTAGATATTGTATGAAATGCACAAATAGATAAAAAGACAATAAAACTAGTTTTGACATAAAAAAGTAAAAAAAAGGACAAAAGTAATAGCATCTTCAATGGGAGGAAACATTTGGATTTTAGAATCTACCTCAAAACTAGTTTTTACCATTAGAGACAATGCATAAATAATTCAACCATTTGATATGAAGTAAATGTTTTTTGTGGTGTAATATTTCATTTTAAAAAAGTAATGTTTGAGTAAAAAATGACAAGGTTTTGTAATACATTTATTTATAGAAAAAAAAAAGTTTTACAATTGGTCAATAATCGGATAAGGTTTAACTTACTAAACTTTCGTCTGATAAAGTTAGTGGAAAGCTGATGTGACAAAACATAAAATGTCTGCATGGCAATTCTTTCAGGTGTGTGATTTGTCAGATGGAATATAAACGAGGTGAACGCCAGATCACTCTTCCTTGCAAACATATCTATCACTCGGGATGTGGAACTCAATGGCTTAGCATCAACAAGGTAAAATCGTTTTTTTTTTGGTTTATTTACATTATTGCCATTCTTGTTTTTTTTTTTTTTTTTACTTTGACTAATATTTAAACTCGTATTATTAATAGGCTTGCCCTATTTGTTACAAGGAGGTGGTGGTTCATATTCCAAAACATTCTGAAAAATTAAGTAAGTGAACATAGAAAAAGGAAAGTGGTTTCTTAATACCCCTAATTTTATTAGAGTAATATTTTTATTTTTCTAATTGGATGAATATCTTATGTGTTAAATAAGATTACAGAGTGATTAGAGTTTGAATTACCTTCCATTTACCATTTACTTTTTTTTTTTCTTTCTTTTTAATGTGTCTTCTTGTACTTTCATGAGTTTTTTTTTTTTTTTTTTTTTTTTTTTTTTTTTTTTTTTTTAAGATGACACTTTGTACTAAAAAATGTTAAATGCAAGAAATAGGAGCTTAAGTTGATTTTGATTACTATAACATTCTAGTTTCATCTTTTCCTATTACAACATTGTAGTTTAATATTCTACCCAATAAGAGTATCAACCGAATACAAAGCAATTTTCTTTATCATATATAATTGGGTAGATTTTTTCGAAGGCAAATTTACTAAACTAACCATAATTTGATGTAGACTTAAAGGATATTTTGAAAAGAATAAAATGCTATAACTATGTCGATTTTACAAAGTAAAATGTATTAGTAAAAAAAAAAAAAAATGAAATGAAACAATATGTTTCAAGTGAGTTGCTATTTTTTACATTTATTTGGGTGTTAGTAAAAAAAAAATCAGGGTTAATATGGTTCATGCCAAAAGGTCCAATGGACCATATTAAATAAATACACTTTTGGTATATTAAAAACAGCACCAACTCCACCACAAATTGAAAATGACCGATGAGATCATAACACCACATCAGAATTCACACATCATACTCAAAGTACTTGATTAGAAAAAGAGATCAAACCATCTTTTTCAACTCTTACATAATGCATATAAATAGCTCCATTTAAATTAAAAAGAAAAAAACAAAAGAACTAAAAGTAAATCCTCAAGCCTTCCTTTTCAAACCTAATACTATCAACACAATTGCAAGATAATCAAATCTTAATCCAGACTTAATCAATTGTAACTTTGCATCGTTCCATGGCGGATATCTGAACCATATATCTATAAAGAAGCTTCTTGTCAATACCACCTTCTCATGACTAAAATTATCAAACGAGTATTTTCCATGGTATCTTCCAAACCCACTCCCGCCTGTTCCACCAAACGGTAAAGTATCCACCACGTACTGCATTTATTTAAAATTTATACAAAAATTAGTTTCTAGTAAATAATAGAAAAGGAATGGTGTCACGAGGTTAAGAATTACGTGAAGGATGACATCATTGAACGTAAGGCTTCCGGATGATGTCTCAGAAACCAATCTCTTTTGGAGATTATTGTCTTTTGTAAAGGCATATAGAGCAAGCGGGCTCGGCCTTGATCTTATGAAGTCAATACTGTCTTCAATTTTCTCCAACTGCATCCAAAAAGTTGTACTTTTGGTGTTAACATAGGAAACAAATATCGTCTCGACAACTCAATAGAAAGACTTTTGAGAGGGTCATTCATATTGGAGTACTATGACTATGATAGGATACAATGCTCTCACAATTTAAAACACGATTTAAAAAGAGAGATATTCACATCCTTGTAAGGAATTCTTCATTTTCTCTCCATTTGAATTTAGGCCTGGTAATTGGGTTGGGTTCGTGTTAGCAGGTTGGTGGGTTAGAAAACATAAACTCAACCCAACCCGTATAATATATATGTTGATGGATTGGCTGATCACAGGTTGGTGGGTTGGAAACCTCAACCCAACCCAACCCATATAACCCGTTTAAGTATATGAGTTCGCGGGTTCACAAGTTAATGGGTCAAACCCAATCAATATAACTCGTTTAATAAATAAGCAATGAATTTTAAAAAATAAGGTTTTTTCAACATAAATTCATAAAATGATTAAAGTAATTAGCATAAAAAAAGGTTTTCAACATAAATTCATTAAGTCAATAACATCCAAATAAAAAAAATAAAAAATAAAAATAAAAAAAACACTTAGAGAAAGTGCATGTGTTCTTCGTTTGTGACTTATGAAAAGAACAATATGTATTTTTTTTCTTTTTTTGATTAATGAACCATAAACGCAGATTAGTCACATATGAATACGGAAGGAATACAATGATAAAAAATATTATGAATACGGATGGAAATCAAATTTCATTAATAATTAAATATATCATTTTTTTAGATGTAATATATATATATATATATATATATATATATATATACACACACACGGATTGGCGGGTTGATCCGCGAACTCAAACAGATAACCCAACCCAACTTATGAAATAAAAGGATTGGTGGTTGACGGGTCAAAAATCTCAACCCAAACCCGATTATTTTCGGGTTGGATTAGTATCGGGTTACAAGTTATGTCGAAAATTGCCACCCCTACATTTGATATAAGAGTGACTTCTAATAGGAGGGAATGAAAAATTACTTTTATCAAGATGTTGCCATTTTCCTTTCAATACATGATATTAAAGCCATGAGAACACCAAATCTCATCTATTATATATGGGTAAGCATGCATGGCCAAAACCAATACAATTAGTGATGACTTTTTTGGTTATTTTGTGAATAAGCAATTAAGCTCAAAAAAATGGTATATATTTACAAAATAACACTTGAGTTTTTTAATAAATAAATGAGTTTTTTTTTTCAAATTAATTTAGTATAAATAAAAAGGGATTTTTTTTTCAAAAAAATCCTTAAACTTTAACCTTATTAACGAAAAAATCACTTTTGGTTGTTTATTATAATTTCACCCTGAAAACCTATATTAACCAGCAACAATGATTATTTTAAAAGTGTTTACCGGATTTTTAGGCTTAATAAGAAAAGAAAAAAACAAACAAACAAACAAACTGACTCTTGCATTAATAAAACAAAATTTTAGGGACTTATCAAAAATGGAAAATATCTTGGTAGGTCTATGTAACGTGTTACACTTAAATGGTTAATTCACAACATTTAATGGATTGAAGAAATATTTCTTACTGTAATAATTGGAAGTAATGGACCAAAAATTTCTTCGGTCATAATTGCAGCATCAAGTGGGGGATCGACCAATATTGTCGGCTCAATGAACCTACATTTCCACGTAATTTAATTGAAAGAAATATAAAAACCCAAAGTTAGTATACATGTTTTGTATGATTAAAATAAATTATACTCGTAAGACATGTATTCTAAATGTTTTAAAACATTATACATATAAATATATAGCAAAACTAATATTTTTTACCCACCCTCAAAAAGATCAAAACAAAGGACTTACAAGTTCTCTTCATCAAACAAACCACCATAAACCACCGAAGATTTGACCATGTGTTCATCTAAGAGACTCTTCAATCTTGAAAAATGCTTCTTGTTAATTATCTTAGACATGCTATTAGATCCATTTGGATCATCTCCAAAACATTGCTTGATATATTTTTTCAATAATTCCACCTAAAATAATTAAGCCATTGCATAAATTTATGATAAAAATATTAGAAAAAAAAATGCAATTCGACATTAATATAGATATTTTTCTGTACGATTTTACCAAATTTGACAAATTCTTTTTCTCAACAAGGATATAATCAATGCCGATACAAGCTTGCCCGGCACTCGCTCCAAACTTCCCCCAAACGATTCTTTTTGTCGCCATCTAAAAGTGAAAATTAATAAAATTTATTGTTAAGTAGTACACATAATATTTAAATGTCATTGATTCATAAAAAATTGAAGTAAATTAAGAAAATGATTATGTGCTATAGTAAAAAGTAAAAACTACATGTTTAATCCAATTTCTGCTGTTTTTAGGGTATGTGCTATGGTTTAACCACACCTCTTGCTTTTTGTCCCTTTAATTTCATTTTTAATAAATACTTAAATTTTTTAAATTCTTTTTAAAATAATATAAAATAAATAGAAATAGATTATTTTCATACATGATCGGCGTTCTGCAACAACAATTTTATATCTTTGGCATGTTGCTTTCCTCCACATGTTTTTCCCTTACACATTTTTTCTTTCTTCAACTCCATATGTACGTTAAAATACGAATTATGACGTTGGAAAATCTTTATACGGTCTCTCCGTCGAGCCCTAATGTAGCGATTTGTTGGCCATGCTCTATGCCTCAATTTTTACCGCAAGACTAATTCACCCACTCATCTCTTTTGTGCTAGAGGAATTATGGTTTATGTTGGAGATCCGGTTACCCCTTGGATCGTGTGGGCATTTTCCGAATTGATATTTCTACATTATGTATGGTTGCAATAAATTGTATCTAGGATGATCCAAGATGACACTTACGAATCTAGGCACAGAAAACGTAAGTCAAATTGCTAGAAGGATTCTATGTTCGTCTGAAGAAAAGATAGCTAATATTTTTGTATCTCTTCTCAAAGAGAAGAGTCGTTTCTATAATAAACGAAATATAGGGTTTGCTTCTTAGGGTTGGCCGTCATGAATTATTTTCATCAGTTTTACCATAATCACCCTGAAGAATTTGATTTTCCCACCCAGTCAGGGGTTCTGCCCCTAGAACCCGCCAAAAGGGCGCTGCCCCCAGACCCCCAACTTGTCATCAAACCGGCTTCCAATTCGATTTTATACGTGCATACACCCCATACATACATGTACATATATTATAGTACAAATTATGAAGCCTCTTAGCTTACATGTTAATTCCAATTACATAAAGGGCATGTTTGGCAAAAATAACTGTTAGCTGGAAGCGGGTAGCGGGTAGCGTGTTGCGGTAAGCTATAACTTTTATTTGTTATATGAGTGTTTGGCAAAAGTAGCTGAAAGCTTTTGAAATATATAAAATTACATAAAAGGACAATTGACTAAAAATAAATAAATATATAAATATATTTTTAAGGGTAATTATGGAAACTGGTTTCAAAAGCTCAGTATCGTTTTGTTAAACGCTACATTAAGTAGCTTTTAACTTCGGAGCGTTTTGTTTAAACTAAAAGTTAAACGCTCGTACAACCAAACGAAACTTTTTGTTTAAGTTAGAATGTTTTGTCAAAAGTTAAAAGCTAGAAGCTCCTAAACGTTTCCAAAAACTTCGTGCTAAACACGTCCAAAATGACACGGTGATACTAAAATCATCAACATTTTGTATTGTATTTTTGTATTTACCCAAATGTCATTTGTATATCTTATACTATATTATAAAACATATTAGTCATATCTTGAATTTTTTAAAATAGAAGTTATAAAGATTTTTGTATAGATCAATTATACATAAATAA